TTCAATAGATATAGGACCTGAGAATATAAAGAAGCTCTATAAACTCTCTTGGAGGGAGAAAACAACTTCACATTAATGGAGAGAAAAAATGGAGATTTTTTACATTATACTTATGTTAAAAAATTTCTTCAAATTTTTAGGGGGGGCAGCCGCCTACCCTAGCACCCCCTGGGTCCGCCCCTGCTAATCATGTCAAATAATCACTTTATGTGTGACACTCCCTTTCCCTACAAGTTCATTTTTACTACTATTGTCGTATTGAGTAGTGTCTATTATTCTGATTCAAAATGAAACTACAGGTTATATATTTCGGGAAATACATATATATAATATTAAAATTATTTTTTTTATTTTTCAAAAGATATGTCAATATAGGAGATATATTCCTATTGACCGGATTTAGATACTATGGTAATATATTAGATATTTTCCTTCCCTACATCCATGCACGCACTTCAAGCCTGCATAGCAACCACCTTCATGTCATGCACTACAAAATATTCCTTCACTCGACATTAGGCACACCATTGCCACTATTAATTTACACAGCACAAACTAACACCATTCTACTTCAATTGGCATACTTTGAGCTCTGATTCTCCCATATCAATATTTCTAAGAATCTGTTTGGATGGGCTTTTTTTTTATTTAAAAGCTATTTTTTTTAAGAAAAAAAAAGTCATTTTCGAAAAAAATCTGTTTGGATGCCTGCTTTTAAAAAAAAACAGAAGTCATAAAAAAGTTAAAAACTTACTTTTTTCAAAAGCTAAAAATTTTAACTTTTAAAAAAAGCAGAAGTCAAAAGCCAAATATTTTTTTCAAAAATCAAATATTTTTTTAAAAATCTAAATAGCTATAACTTTTATAGAAAGTACTTTTAAAATAAGGAAGTGATAAAAAGGACTTTATTAAAAAGTCCATACAAATGCAGCCTAAGTCGGTTTACATAATAACTAACCGGCTTTTATAATCAAGGTGCACATTCTCTTACCCTCAGATCTAGTGGCGGATCTAAGAAATTAATGAAGGGTGGGCACTCAATAAGTTCAAATACATATAGATCTGGGTCTGGTCTGGAACGCGATTTGCGAGCAACTGCCGGCTAGCTGGGTCTGGTTTAGATATAGATTTGGACGGATTGCGACTCAACTGGATCGATGATGGAGGAAGAAGCAAATGTTCCAACTTCCAATAACGGAGATTGAGGTTTGAGAGAAGATGAATCAATATATAGATGCAAACGATGAGTCTGGAATAGAGCTCTCTGCTGTTAGATTTGGATAATGAAAGTGGAGGACAAAAAAAACTCACGAAAAAAATAAAATAGAAGGAGAAAAATTAAATTGGGAAAACTTGAATTTTAAGAGAAGGACATTTTCGTATTTTTGCATCAGATTTCAAGAGTGGGCATTTGCCCCCCTTTGCTCAAATCACAAATTATGAGTTTGAGGACACTTGATCAGAGGCTTCACAATATTAGATATAAGCCATAGTAGTGGTTGGGTTGATAACAAATTTATAGGCTAGAGATTAGCCTTATCATTATCGGATCTTCCTTCTACTATATTTAGGGAATTTCCTTGTTACCTTAATTAGTATTAAGACCCGAGTTGATAATTAACATTCCTTTGAACCATTAGTGGTTTGAGTCTTTATCAGTAACTTGGACCCAGATTATGAAAATATCTCGAGTACTTAGTACTAAAAATTCAGTGAATGGGTTACTAAAATTAGAAAAAAAAAAGTATGTACTTAAGTGCCTTTATTCTAACTTTTTCTTTATAAATTTTTTTTTTTTTTTTTGGTAAACAACTTTTTCTTTATAATTTATGTCAAGTGAATCTCGTTCATTTCTTTCTTTAATAAAAAAGTACTTATTTTTTTAATAAAGAATTACCTATTATAGGAATACCGAAGATTTACTCCCGAATTATATTACAACAAACAAAACTAAGAATGAAAAGTATCTTATATGTATCATTGAGCTTTAGTTTGATTCATCATACTTATTATTAGGGGATTAAAGTTTCTGCTGTAACTTTAGATAAATATACCTGCTGTGCACTTAAACTACACCGTTTTGCATTTAAACTACACCGTTTAGTCTTTTTTTTTAAACGAATCGTGCTTCCGTCTTCCCTTTTTTTCTTGCGCTTCCTTACATATCGTGCTTCCGTTTTCTGACCTGAGTCGAATAATGAAAAAGGAGAAGCCAAAAAGGGGAAATAAGAGAAATTGATTTATAGCTGTGAAGTTGTGAACCAAAGTTATTTTTACCTGCTCATATGGAAAGTGTTGCAATCGAATCATTGGGAGATTCAAACACTGGAGCATTTTCATAATGAAAAGGTGCTGATCAACCCACCAAATATGTGGCCCCTTCTTGTTGATGATGTACATTCCACCCGGTACTTGGCTTTCTATTTCTAATAGTCAAAATTTAAGTGCAAAACGATGTATGAGGGGAAGACGGAAGCACGATTCGTTTAAATTTAAAAAAAAAAAGACTGAACGGTGTAGTTTAAGTGCAAAACGGTGTAGTTTAAGTGCACAGCAGATATATTTATCTAAAGTTACAGCAGAAACTTTAATCCCTATTATTAGTAATTAAAATTATTGATAGATGCAATAGTAAAAAAAATTCATTTTGTAATCATTTTATAAATAGGTGAAAGGGATTATTGTTTTTCATATTATATGAGATAATTTTATCTCCTACACACATGTATATATATAAAAGTGTATAGGACTCATGTTGATGTGTTATCTTTTTCTTTATCTTCTCTTCACATGGTCTCACAAGGACCCCACATATTTTTATATATGTACAGAAGATGAAATTATCTTTTACAATATGAGAAACAATAATCTCATAGGTTAAATTATATGATTAGTGGGATAGGTTTTTTTCTTGTTTAATTTATTAATGGGAAAAGTATTTGTCATTTTAAATGACATAAAATTATGTCATTTTAAGAGAGAGATAGACACAAGAAATTATTTTTTATTTAAAATTTAAATTAAAAAAAACCACCCACTTTCTCTCCCATGATTTTCATTTCTTGTGTCTATCTCTCTCCTAAAATGACATAATTTATGTCACTTAAAATGACAAACATCAAACCCTTAATTAATATATCAAAGTTAAATTATATAATTATGAGTCTAAATTTAATTTATTGTTAGTTATAAAATTTTCATTATTAATAAATAAGAAAGTGTCACAATATATATTACTATAATTAAGCTTTTTGTATCTGTACCAGAAAGTTTTTTTTTTTTTATGGATCGCGTTTCTAAAGTCTTTACTTTTTTTAAAGCGCAGTTTAAAAATTAAATTTAATAATTATATGAGCTCACACCTAATATAAAATTAACTGAATCCAACATAATTAGTTGACCATTGGTTATTTGATTTTTTTATGTAATAGTCTTTAGGTTAAGGAATTCGTAAGAAAAAATTCAGGACTTAGAGCCCGTTTCGTTGCACTTCTAAAAAAAGTAACTTTTATCTTTTCCTTATTTTAGAAGTGATTTTTATAAAAGTTAAAGCTATTTATATTTTTATAAAAATATTTGGCTTTTGATTTTTACTTTTCTTATAAGCTAAAATTTTTAGCTTCTGAAAAAAAAGTAAGTTTTTAGCTTTTTTCGTGACTTCTGCTTTTTTTAAAAGCAGACATCCAAATGAACTAAAAACGAAAAGTGTTTTTTTCTTGAAAAAAAGTAGCTTTTGAAGAAAAAACTCATCCAAACGGGTCTTAGTATAATTAATATATGTACTGGAAGCGTGGATGGATGGGAATTCTCTGTGGAGATATTTTAATTGATTCATCGTTTCGCGATTAGTCCGATTCGGGACGAGTTTTGAGATTAAGAATTTAAATTCCTCTAAAAAAAATGATACTAAAAAATATCAAATACATATTCTTATCTCCATCTGTTTAGTTTTTTAGCGCTAATTAAACTACCATCATTTGATTACGGGAAGTATCTAGTTGCTACACAATTCATTAAGCAGGGATGTCACCCAGCCCATTCGGTTGATTTGCAAACAGATCGAATTGATGCGTTTGGATAAACTTTGAAAAAAAATACTTTTATGTTACGTTTTTTAACTTGTGAAAAAATAATAAAACTGTTTTTTACTAAAATAATCTAATTTTCTTATATTTTTTGTTTATTGAATAAAAATTCTTTTTTAAAAAACACAAATAAATGGGGCCAAAGTATATGATATTGGTATACGCATATTTTGCAATTAATAAGTTATTAATAGGATAATATAAGTTGGATTGCAATTTTTTATCAAAAAAGTTGGGTAATAGTTCTTTTTTAATTTTTTTAATCTTTTAAATAGACAAAATATGCCTGAAATATTGCCTAACGCTAGTTAATAAATAAGAGACGGGGTAAAAAAAGATTAACATATCTGGTTGAACTTTTCGCCTGCTTAGTCGTGACTTTGATTTGATTATCTGAATTTTCTCTTTAGTTAGCAATATATAATTTCACCTTAGACCCTCGTGCCTACGTTTTGTCTACTTTAAAAGAATAATTAAGATAAAGCGACTAAGGTGACAATAATTACTTACAATGATTAGTGCATCCAGTGGCAGAGCCAGAGTAAAAATTTAGGTGCTGCCAATATTTTTTGACAAATTAAATTATCAAAATATTTATTGTAATTACGCAAATTAATCAGGAAAAAAATTTACTATGAATTCTAACATAGTTTATCTAAATTATATATTAAATAATGTCACATAACATTGAAAATTCAAACAAACAATTATAAATGATTATATATCAAAACAAATATATAAAAAGGCACTAACCTTTCCGATAAGCATTTCAAACATAAGAATTTCACTTTCCTCCCACAGCATAATAAGTAATGAACCAAGCATTGTCCTAAGGATATAAAAACACACAAATATAATACATATATGCATAATAACATTTAATAAATAATTTAAAATATAATAAAAAATGCATACCTAAAATTGTAAACGGCGCTCTTTTAAATTGACGAAATCTTCAAGGATAGAATCTGTAGTAAAAGTTTCAACAATCTCTCTTTCAATATACACAATCAAATTATTTGCAAGAAAGTCATCCTCCATTTTGTTTCGAAGCCTTGTTTTCACAATTTTCATTGCTGAGAATGCACGTTCACCACTTGCTGTTGAAACTGGTAGAGTTAAAATAAGACGAATTAGCCTATCAACCAAATGATAGGAATTTGACTTTCCTGTCTTAGCTAATCCTTGACACAACTCAGAAATTGAAGATAAATTTTGAAGTATTGGATGTTTTGGGATGTCCTTGTGAAAATGCTTCAATTGACAATTCAAATTAATTCTCTCATGCTCAGAAAAATCAAGAGGATAGTATTTCTCTGCAAGACTACAAATATCATCAACATTAAATGCTTTGTAACCATCCTTCGGATCTAATGAAGAGCTAAGTGATAAAAGTTCCATCGATTGCTCATTAAACCTTCTATCTAACTCTTGTATGTGAAAGTCAATGGTTAGATTAAAGATATCAAAATGATAGTGATGCTCAATAGTTATTTGATTATGTTGTCGACGACCACGACCTTCAATATATTGAGCATCAAAATCTGGAACATCTATTTCATGAAGCTTGGAGAAATTAACAACACCTTCAAGTATTCTTTTCCAACCATCATCTCGTAATTCTTGAATAAGTTCCTTTGTACTTGAAACTAATTGTACAGCATTCAAAATATCTTGAGATTTTTGTTGTAATGCTTGACAAAGAATTTCAGTGATACCCATGATCTCCTTCATCAAAAGTAAATTAAAAATAAACTCAAAAGAAGTGATCATCTTATAAGCTGCAGTAGCATCTCCTCTTTGAGAATAATTTGAGCCTTCAGTACAAATTTTTTCAAGTACTGAACATGATTCATTATACCCACGTTGAAGACTGCATAAAGAATAAAAATGAGAACCCCATCTAGTATCACTAGCCCTCTTTAGTGTACCTACCTGGTTAGAACCTGTACCAGTTTCAAGCTCACCAATAGCCTGTAAATGTTCAAATTCGGAAATTTGGGCAGCTTGGAATTGATCATGACGCTTAGAAGAAGCAGTGATAATAGTGATGATGAAATTCAAGTTCTGAAAGAATTGATAAATAGAAGAAACTTCCTTAGAGGCAGCAACAAAGGCTAATTGCAATCGATGAGCGAAACAATGCACATAATAAGCACAAGGACACTCTTTAAGAAATAGTGCTTGCAATCCATTCCATTCACCACGCATGTTACTAGCGCCATCATATCCTTGGCCACGGATATTCTGCATATCAAGACAATAATGTGAGAGTATTTCAGTAATAGCATTTTTAAGTGTCATAGATGATGTATCTTGAACGCGACAAAGATCAAAAAATCTCTCTTTTATGAATCCATCTTTGTCAACAAATCTTAAGACAAGAGCCATTTGTTCCCTTTTGGATTCATCACGTGCTTCATCCGCAATAATACAAAACTTAGAGTCCCCAATATCTTTGCGAATCTGTTTTCTCACTTTGTTTGCCAGAACATATAAAATCTCCTTTTGTATTTGAGGTGAGGTATACTTAGCTGTTAATGGAGCATTCCTTAGAACAACATCTGCAACTTTTTCATTATAAGATGCCAAAAGTTTGATCATTTAAATAAAATTACCACTATTTCTTGAATTAATAGTCTCATCGTGCCCTCTAAAAGCACATCCTTGAAAAGTAAGCCAACGAGCAACATCAATTGAAGTCTTAACACGCAGCCTATTTTGTTCAATTTGTTGGGAGCTTTGAGCATGCATAACTTTATCAATATGGCAAGACTGATTCATTAAGTCTACACATGAGATGAGTGCATTAGTATGTTGTGAACAAGGATCATCTCCCATGTGACTTAGAAAAGCACAATACTTTCCACTATGAACTCTATGCCAACTGTTAAAACCTTTGATTGTGAATGCATCCCAACCATGTCGCCCACTGACCTTTTTAGAGAAAAGATAGCATGGTAAACAAAATGCAGCATCTACATAAGGTGAGTACTCAAGCCACGAAGAAAATTCTTTGAACCAAGACGCTTGAAAACGTCGAGGATGCTTTTCCTTTGAAAATGGATAGGAGCATTGAGGTTGATATGGCCCAGCTATTAAATAAGCTCTTCGTATCTCATCAACTTCATTAGCTGAATATTCCCAAATTGGCTTACGCTTACCTGGATCACGTTCAAAACTTTTATTTTTGACTATAATAATTTCTTCAGCATGCTCAATTCTATGACACTTGGAAGGAGGTTGCTCATGAGAAGGTGCATCACTTTCAGAAATTATGTTTGCAGGAGTATCACTGGTAGCACCATCAAAGGCTACTTTCTTCTTAAAGAATACATCTATACTTTTCTGTTTATCCTTGCCCATATTTCTTCAACCTAATCAATTTTCAAATTTAAGAAATAACAAATGATTATACTACACATTATGGGTGTTTTAATTTGTAAAATGAAAACATTGATTTTTATAAATAAGGATTTAATAACCATTGATTTGTAAACTTCTTTACTTAGGCACGTCTGTTTCTATACATTTTTTTTTCTTTCTGTACATCTTCATTTTTTTATTGAAAATAAAGATTTATTTTTATATTCTTATCCTCTCTCTCTCTCTTTTAATTTTTTTTTTCATAGAAGCCCCATTTCAAATAAAACAAGGCAATTATGATGTTATTTTATATAACTACTAATAACCATTAATTTATATGTATGGGATCTTTTTATACTTTGAAATCCCTTGTCAACTTGGAGAGTTCACACTTAATTATTTCGAAGGAGATATATTAAATTATATTCCTATATGTCTTCTTAAACAAGCCGTTATAGAAATATTTGTCAATGATATTAACAATCCCTTGTCTTCCTACAGTTATTTGAAGCGAGCTTTCAGATTTTTATATTAACATTCCACTATCTCTAATTTGTAAACTAACCAAATTAAAACATTAATTCAATAAAACCAATAAGACAATAACTCAAGCAGCCAAACTTCATTAAATAAAATCAATAAAACAATAACTCACCGATGGGAACTTTCTTCTATTAATTAATTGTTTTCAAATGCAAATTTCTTCCAAATGTTTGATACCTTAAAACCAATAAAACAAACCAAGTAAAACATCAACAAAAGTACAGAACATTGGAACCCAGATAACAATAAATCAAGAAAATGCAAAAAAAATTAAACATAATCTAATAATCGTCAATAGCTCACCGAAATAAAAAAAAAAAAAAACAATATAAAAATAAAACTACCAGAGGATGAGGATGAGGGGAAGGGGAAGCAACTCCATCAGACCATCAGTAGTACTCAAACTTCATCTTTTTCCTTTGAGCAACACTACCAGACTACCTTTTTTTTTAAGCTTTCAAAATGAACCCCTTTCTTGCATCTCCCTCCATGCTGTAATGGAAGACCTTCGAGCAACGTGCCTGCCGGGTTGCGTGTTTGTTTGGGTAATTTGTAGCTATAGACTAAAGTAGAGACAGAGAGTACAGAGAGCAGAGATTTGACTTCGATAATTTATAATTGTAAATATATTTTAATTAAGTCACAAGAAGTGATAAAATATTTGGGTAATTTGTATTAAGTTGTGTGTTTAATTTCTATTTGTATATCAAAAAAATATTTTAATTTTTAGGTAGTGCCAAATTATAATTTTAACCATGACTAAATTATAATTAATTATATGATTATATATAGTAAGTACAATTTATTAAAAGTAAGCTGGTGCCAAGGTACCAGCAGGCACTAAAGTGGCTACGCCACTGTGCATCCGCGCTATACCGAATAAAGAAGAGTTAATTTTGTAAGGGAAATGTATTTCTTCTCAAGGGAATGTTTGTTTCAGGATTTTGTTAAAAAACTTTGGGGAAGTGATGCCTGCATTGTCATTATTTCACATTTGGTTCACTTTTTTCATGAATTTTACCCATCTTTCATTGTTGCCTATCTATCTTTAATTGCAAGTGATTTGTCTGAAAATCACTGTTGACGATTGCTTCGTGGAAGGTGGCATTTTGTCTAAAATCTGGAGAAGTTGCAAACGTGGTATAAATGGGTGACTGTATTACCCCTCAATATTATCGTTTGGACAATTCTTGGTATAAAGGATTATTTTTAAAAGGATAGTTTCGTAATTTCAATTAGTTTCTCATCAATATTTTATATTTAACCAAACACACTCTTCAAGAATTTCACTTAATTTTTTTGGTAAAATTTTACTCAAACAAACAACTTTTTTAGAAATTTTCTATCTAACTCATTTTTCTTACAGATCCCTACTAATTACATTTCCCTAATAAAAAATTATTTCACCTGAACCAAACACCTCTTAAAGGATAAGAGATTTTTTACAGTAATAAAAAAATTATTTTATCAATAAAATATAATTATAAATTTTAAAAAAAATTCAGAAGATTATTATCTGATACGATGGAAAGAAAAAAATAAGATTATAAATATATTTTATCAATAAAATATGATTGTATTTTGTTGTTGTAAAAAATATCTTCTTCTTTGATTTGAAAGGGGAAGTTGGGGATCTATGTTGTAATAATAGCCGACCAATACTAACTGACACTTGTTTTCAACGTCAGGAATCCAAGAATTATTGGTCCACATAAGCTCACCGTACAATTTTTGTAAATTTTCAATTATCGCATTCGCAACTGTGGGTTTTGGTCCAGTATCCTTTTCGCACGTTAGCAAAGTCCAGGTAGTGGGTGACATGAATCAACTGTTACACTGATATTAAGATAAAGTGGACTAATTCTTTCATTTTAAAATTTTAATAAACTATGTGAAATTTTTAAGTGGATCTTTTTCTTCACATATATTAAAGCAAGGGGGTGTTTGGTACTCGAGAAATTTTTTTGTATCATGGAATCACGATTACCGGGTATATAGCTGCAACAAAAATTGTCTGGGAATTTGACGAAAAAGATGTTTGGTAGAACAAAATATTACCGAAAATATTGGTTAATTTTTGTGAATGAATGTTTGGTTGAAAACAAAATATTGATGGAAATATGATCAAATTTGACAAAAGTACCCTTGTGAAGAATAACTTACAAAAAAAATGATTAACTAAAAACAAAGCATTTTCAAAACGCAAACGCAAATCCGTCCCTCTGCATCTGTCTTGGTTAAATGACAAGTAGGGACAAGCATATGTTGCTTGTATAATATTGTCTCTGTACACAGCTTATTTAGTACGTCCACTACAGTAGTTTGATTTTTATCTTTTATCTTCAATATTTGTTCAGGTTGTGTTCTTGCGATGCATTATATCAGAAGTTAGCCTCCCCACTTATCATTCATGGGAGTTCATGCAATTTGTGATTTTTTTTTTGGGTAAACTAAAGACTTTATTTTCAAATCGTAATGTTTCATTTGTATCTTGAATCATTGTGCAGGTTGTGTTCCTGTGATGAACCATATCTTGACTCATTGGAGGGTAATTTAGTCTGCCAAATACAACGCGTAGAAACCAAATCATGTGAACACACAATACCCATCTTCTAAATGGGAATTATAATCCATAATCGCTAGTGTTAAATGGTTGCCAGGGAATAAACAATACCCAGAAAAATTTTACGGTTTTTCTTCTATCAAACGTGGAAACAAATCATTCCCATTTTCACTTTCTAGGACATCCAAGAAATTACTCCATACCAAACAGCCCCCAAGAGTTTAGTGACCATTTGGTCTTCAACCAACTAATTTAGCACTTAGAGCCCATTTGTTTCGGCTTCTCGAAAAAATAATTTTTATCTCTTTCTTATTTTAGAAGTGTTTTTTATAAAAGTTAAAGCTATTTATATTTTTATAAATATATTTAGTTTTTGAAAAAAATATTTGGCTTTTGACTTTTTCTTTTCTTAGAAGTTAAAATTTTTAACTTCTGGAAAAAGTAGATTTTTGACTTTTTTGTGACTTCTGCTTTTTTTAAAAGCAGACATCCAAACGAACTAAAAACGAGAAGTGCTTTTTTTCTTAAAAAAAAGCAGTTTTTGAAGAAAAAAACTCATCCAAACAAGCCCTTAGTAAGAACGAAAAAAATAATAAATAAAAAGTTGTTTTTTAAAAAATTTATAATAAATTAAATGTTTTGATTTTATATTTTTATTCTTTAAATAATACCTTTAAGATATTCAATCTTAAAACTTTTTTAACTAAAATAATGATAAAAAAAATATTACTTTTCTTTTTGGAAATATTTCATCGGTTCATCGCTTCGTGACTAGTCTGATTCGGGGCGGGTCTAGGATTAAGGCTTTAACTAAAATATATTACTTTAGTATTACCTTAGCAGACCCATCAATCATTAGCTTTAATATTAGAGTTTGGCACCTATCTCAACATAAAAAGTTAAGGCATTGAATTTATGGATTTTTACAATTCAATTCTCATCCCAACACACTTTGCTACTTTTTGTCTATTTTACCATATTCGTATAGTGATATCTATACTCAATCATATCTATGCGACATATATAGCTAGTCGGGATTATTTATATTCTTCTTAGAGCCCTTTTTTATTAATTTTTTCCTCGGAATAATTCTTTCTACTGGTTAACATCTGAATTCTGTTTTTCTGTTACTGAACCATCTCAGAATTAAATGAATTTTCTAGTTCCATAAGGATATGAATTATTTGATTTGGATGCGATGTCACACCTACCAGCAGCGTGGGCCTAATTTTTGTAGCAATTTTCGTCCGTTAATTATTGTTGAACTTCAGCAATTTATTAACTGACTGATAATCAAGTTAATTAGCCTGCAAAGTGCAAACAATTGCCAAGCCTATAAGACTAGCTTAGATATGTAATAATGGATGAAATAGAATAAAAATAGATGTAATGAAATAAAAGTATAATGCTATTGTTTGGTATCTAATGATAAAATAAAGAAATGTTTTTATTTCATTATTTAAGAATAAGACAGAATAATAAGAGTTGTAATTTTATTAAAATAGTTACATCCGATGCTACTGAATTGGTTGGGGGGAAATGTATTAGATGAAATGTGCTAATTATAAATTCTCATATTTAATTTCATTCCTTTCAAATTTTAGAAAACCAAACAATAGTAATTAGTGTGGCATTTCAAAATGCATCAAGACTGAGCATAACTGATTCTCTTCAACCTTCTATTTTCTCCAATGATTTAAAAAAAAAACACACACACAGAAGAGATATATTATTAAAATATGTCTACAAGTTTTACTCGATTGAAAAAAAAAATGAATAATTTTGTCTACAAGTTTTCCCGAAATTGCATTAGCAAAGAGAGATATTGAAAACGAAAATGTGCATGCAGTCTAAGGCAATGGTGGGAATTGGGATACGGCATTACCGAGTTGAG